TATTTTAAAATGATTTTATAAATAAGAAAATAACCAGCAGAGTATTCAGTTATAAAAATAATCATTAGTTGCAGCCGGTGATCTGGTTATGCTAGACTGAATACATATATGAATGGAAATCAGATATAATGTGTATATTTTTGAATGTGACATCAACTGCTCTAAATATCCTCCCAGTCATCCGGTCAGCTCAAGGGAAGCAATTTGAAGGCTTTGGCAGTATTGTCTCTGCTGGTAGCCGGCCACATGAGACTCTGAGAGCTGAATCATGGTGGCATATCCCCAGCCTGAGCAGCCAGTTGCTTCTTTTAGTCTGTGACAGCAGCTGGACAAGCCGAGGCCTGTGCTGTGCTGTGATTTGGCCCATTCAGATTCCACTGGAGCTGAGACAGGCAGGGCCACAGAGGTAGCTATATTTAGAGTGGGGCAGGATTAAACTGCAGGGTCTTCACTCCAGAATCCTTTTTTCTTCTCTGCCTTTTCCAGCCAGGACCAACTACCAAAAGGACCTGTGGCTGCTGTCTCCTTCCTCTCTCCAGAGACCCTCTTGTCCACCCGCCGTTTCCCCTCCTGACACACCATGGACCCAAATGCCATCAAGGAGGAGCTGCGCTTGTTTCAGAGCACACTACTCCAGGACGGACTGAAGGAGCTGCTGAATGAGAACAAGTTTGTGGACTGTACCCTGAAGGTAGGTGACCACAGCTTCCCCTGCCATCGGTTGATTATGGCCGCCTGTAGCCCTTACTTCAGGGACATTTTCTTCACAGAGGATGGGAAGGAGGCGGAGAACACTAAGGAAGTGGTCCTGGAGGATGTTGACCCTTCCACCCTGGACATGATCATCCATTACCTCTACTCTGCTGAGATTGACCTCACTGATGACAATGTGCAAGATTTAATTGCATTGGCGAACAGATTTCAGATCCCTTCAGTCTTCACAGTGTGTGTTAACTACCTTCAGAAAAAGCTGTCTCTGGGGAACTGCATGGCCATTTTCAGGATGGGCCTAGTGTTCAGCTGTCCCAGGCTTGCTGTGGCTGCACGCAATTACATCGCTGACCGCTTCGAGCTCATTTACAAATATGAGGAGTTCCTCAAGCTTGCACCCCACGAACTGTTCGCCATCATTGGTGGAGACTCATTGAATGTGGAAAAGGAGGAGCTGGTGTTTGAGGCAGTCATGGCCTGGGTCCGCCATGACAGGGAGAAGCGCATCAAGGTCCTCAAGGATGCTTTCAACTGCATCCGCTTCCGCCTGCTATCTGAGAAATACTTCAAAGACAGAGTGGAGACTGATGAGATTGTCAAGGCTGACCCTGAGCTCCAGAAGACAATCCAGGCCGTCAGGGATGCCTTCAAGGGGAAACTTCCAGAGAAACCCAAGAAGAAAGAGGGGGCCGGAGAGGAGGAGGACAACCCATTCCCTGGCTTCCTGAATGACACCCGCAGACACGGCATGTACGCCCGTGACTTCATCCTGATGATCAACGACACGGCGGTGGTGGCATATGATGTCAGTGAGAATGAGTGCTTCCTTGCCGCCATGTCGGAGCAGGTGCCACGTAACCATGTCAGCCTGGTATCACAGAAGAACCAGCTCTACATCATTGGTGGAATTTTCATGGATGACGAAAATAAGGATGTGCCTCTGCAATGTTATGTCTATTTGGTAAACAGGTTTTTATTTTATTGATCCTTCAATTACAGAATGCTGCATAAGAATCAGTTACTTTGAGAAACTGTCTGACTTTTTGGGAAATGTTATTATTTTTCTTGCAAAGAGTCAGATGAGAAGCTTGATAGCACTGTCACATCTTAAGATGGATGGATTTTCAAATGGATGTCGTTTCCCATGTTGGGGAATGATACAGACACTGAAGGATGTGATAGAAGCATTGAATACCTACACTTTGCAGCATAATCAATATGTGGATACAGTACTATGATTCATCCCCTTCTTTACGAGGAGACAAAGATAAATGGGTGCTAAGTGCTTTCACCACTGTGGGTTTTAATGAGCAGTATTTTCTTTCTCCGCAGTTGGATCCTGTCACTTCAGACTGGGTTGCCCTGCCTCCTATGCCTTCTCCGAGATGCCTGTTCAGCATCGGAGAGAGCGGGAACCTGCTGTTCGCTGTGGCAGGAAAAGACCTCCAGACCAATGAGTCACTGGACTCTGTGATGTGCTACAATGTTGAGTTAGTGGTGTCACTTTTCTTTCACTTTTCCTCCCTTCCCTCTTTCTTTATTTCTCACCACCTTCTTGAAGGTTTTCAGGTGATAATTAACTTCCTTAAAAAAAATTAAAAGCAATTATGTGTTAAGTAATTAATCATGTTTTTGTGTCACTTCATCCTCTTAATATGCCATGGTTGTTTCTGCAGTAATTATTGGGCTGCTTTTTTCTAAATGAAAATCACACATTGAATTTCAAAATAACAGTAAATGAACACTTTTCTTTAGGAAGATGAGGTGGAGTGAGACCAAAAAGTTTCCTCTGAAGATCCATGGCCATGCTGTTGTCTCCCACAAAGGACTGGTCTACTGTATTGGAGGAAAGACCGATGACAAGTGAGTAAATGACTGTGTGAGCATATGTGTGTGTGAGAGAGACCTTATACTGTGAGGTGCAGCTATTTGTGGTTTATCATCCTGCCAGACTTAGGGCAGCATGGCACATCATTGTCCACAATTTCACTGCTGCAGTCTGGGACCGATCCTGGACAACTCCTGTTGCATTTTACAGTGAAAACACAGGGTCTGAGAGCATAGCCTGGAACATGGAATTAGGTTGAAATAGAATTTCCCCATTCCTTTGAATAGGGCAAGATTTTCAAAATAAAGCTAAATAATTAAAAAAATTGCGAATGTAAGCAGGTATGTCCTTGAAGTGCTGAACATTTTGATACCTGAAATTGCTTAAAGTATGCTGAAGTAGAATTTTCCCATTCATTTGAATGGAGTAAAATTTTCAAAATAAAGCTAAATATTTCAAAAGTATGAAGTTTAGCAAAATGCTGAATAGTAGTATGAATGTCCTTGAAGAGCTGAACATTTTGATAGCTAAAATTACACTGCAGCAAAAGTTTCCCATTCATTTGAATGAGGCAAGATTTTCAAAATAAAGCTAAATATTTCAAAAGTATGAAGTTTAGAAGAAATCTGTAGCAAAACATGAATGTCCTTGAGAGGGCTGAACATTTTAATAGCTGAAACAGCTGAAAGTATGCTGAAGTAGAATTTTCCCATTCATTTGAATGAGGCAAGATTTTCAAAATAAAGCTAAATATTTTAAAAGTAGGAAGTTTTGAAAAATTTTGAATAGAAGCATGAATGTCCTTGAAGAGCTGAACATTTTAATAACAGAAATTATGCTGAAGAAGAAGTTTCCCATTCATTTGAATGGGGCAAGATTTTCAAAATAAAGCTACATATTTAAAAAGTATGACATTTAGCAAACTTTTGAATAGTAGTATGAATGTCCTTGAAGAGCTGAACATTTTGATAGCTGAAATAGCTGAAAGTATGATGAAGTAGAAGTTTCCCATTCATTTGAATGGGGCAAGATTTTCAAACTAAAGCTGGAAATTTAAAATGTATGAAGTTTAGAAAACTTCTGAATAGTAGTATGAATGTCCTTGAAGAGCTGAACATTTTGATAGCTGAAATAGCTTGAAAGTATGCTGAAGTAAAATTTTCCCATTCATTTGAATGGGGCAAGATTTTCAAAATAAAGCTGAATATTTCAAAAAGTATGAAGTTTAGGAAAATTCTGAATAGATTTGCGCATTTCTTGAAAAAGCGGAACATTTTGATACCTGATTGGTTTTTCTTGCTGAAAGTATGTTGAAGTAGTTAAGTGGCAAAAAACATACAGAATAATAATAATAATAATAATAATAATAATAATAATAAATAATTGGATAACATAGTATGGATGCTGAATCAGCATCCATACAATAAAATAAATACAAAATTTATACAACTTTAAATATAAGTTTAAAAGCACAAGTTAAAAGAGCAAACATAGATTATCACATTAATTCAACAGAAAGGTAAAATCATGACGCGCTGGGTCATTATGGTAACCAATAAAAAATGTAGCTTTAGAAGCTAACACAGTGCTTCTTATAACCTTCACTGGGTGACAGGCGGGGCTAATGTCTGGACTGACAATCAAAAATAGAGGTTGAAGAAGCAGGAATAACAACAAGAGGACTGAGGCAAGCAGAGTGTCATGGAGGGGTGGTTATGCAGCTGAGAGACGCCATGTCCTGTACCATTTTAACTTTATTTATCATTGTGTAAAATGACAGAAGAAATATGTCAGCTAAATTATTTCCAGTTAGGACTACATAATTCTCATTTACTTTAATAAATGTACTACACGTTCCTTCTGTTCGGGTCCAACAGGCCCGGAGAATCTTTATGGATTCATAAGTCCAAATCTACAAACAATTTTGCACTGGGTGCATCTCTCTGTCTCAGAGCACAGACTATAAGTTGCGTGGGGATGACTAACCTGTGACATGTGTGACGTGTGTGACGTGTGTGACGTGTGTGACGTTGGTGACGTGTGTGCCGTCCTGAGACGCGCGTCACTGACGCACTCCTCCACTCCTCCGTATTAGCTTGGCTCGCCCTGCGGTAACCACAACATAATAAATTACAAATGTGAACCACTATCTAACACTCCCAGAGCACATTGTATTATCAAACAGACTGTATTTTACATGAATTACCAACCTGTGACCAGCTGTGCCATTCCTGAGACGCGCCTCACTGACGCTCCTTTATCCTCTCTATACGCGTTAGCGAGGCTCACCCTGCGGCAACCACAATGTAATAAATTACAAATATGAACCAGTATCTAACACTCCCAGAGCACATTTTGTGAAACAGACTGTATTTTGCAAATGAATTACCAACCTGTGACCGGCTGTGCCATTCCTGAGACGCGCCTCGCTGACGCACTGCTCCGCTCATTTTACGCATTATTTTGGCTCACCCGAGAGTAATGTTGTCCTCCAATTATGAAATTTCTTCGTCTGCTTCAACATCAGAATCTTCTCTCGCCTAAAAATCATTTCCAGGGGCGTCTGACTACTAATGCGCCTGACGCGCCTTGCTATCCATACTGTGGATAGTGCACAAGGGGGAGACTGGTCTCCAGCTCAATGTGCTCTAAATATTCTGTTTGCCCAGCAACAAGGGTGGGTGTCGTCTTTCAAGGTGATCATAAAACATGCAAATAACCCTCATAACTGACAAGGATACCCACCAATAGGTTGTAAACATGGCACATTGGTCGCACCAACAGTAAGTGGCCATCTGACCAAGTGCGCCCGCCCCTGCTTGTCTGGTTGAGCTGGGGGTTGGGGACTGGTGTGTGTGTGTGTGTGTGTGTGTGTGTGTGTGTAGCTATTTGTGTGTCAACTGGCACTCAAGCAGCTGGCTTCAAAGGGTTTAGTGTGAGGCCAAGTGGCCTTTAGTATTGCTGGGCTTTTTAGACCCGAACAGAGCCACAAAATGAGGCAAGGTCTTCAAATTTCAGCCCAAAAAATGTTTAGAAATATATTTTTTCTTAAGGTGAAAAGTGAATCCAGGTCTGACAGGGCTGAACAGAACACAGAACAGAAGGGTGAAGAGATGTATGAAGAGACACGCAGGTATATTGATATCTGCGATGGCAGATTAGCGTTGAAACCAACAACTACAAGCATGACCCATGTACGGAATGAGGCAAGTGATTTGTTAGAGAACTTAATAGATTTTGAGGGACTGGAGCTGGAACTGAACACTATTGGAAATACTGAAATTCATTATCATGAACCGGACGAAGATTTTGACCCTGAAAAAAACTTTTTTAAGAACTCTGAAAATAACTGCAAGTATTACACGGATGAGCAGTTTAACAGCAATGTTAAGACTGAAAACAAATTACTGTATCATTAATTCACTTCAATAGCAGAAGTTTATACGCAAACTTTCAGAGTATGAAACATTATCTTAGTAGTCTAAAACATTCTTTTAATATAATTGCTATTTCTGAAACTTGGATGAATAATGTAATTTTTTTAGTATATTACTTGTGTGGTGTAGAAGAGAATTATTTACTGCTTGCAAACCAATGATGGTAAGATGATGTCATGGGGTAGGACTGGATAAGTCTGACTTCTTCCTACTCCATTCAAGCATGTACTAGGTATAAGCAAATTGATATTGGATTATGTGTAAAATTATGTGTGTTGTCATATCAACTGTTTTTACATGCTTGAAAGAATAAATCAAATCAAATCAAAAATCAAACATATTTCACCCTCTGGTCATGTGGATCTTCTGTGTTTCTTTGAGTGCTGATTAGCTGCTGTGCCCTTTAAAAAGAGAGCTCACTGGCGCTCTGATGTCGGCTTCATGCTGCAACACACTGTTGGTTCATTAGCTGTAAATACAATTAACAAAAGTGATTAATGCATGATGCCACATTTTCATCATCACTTAGTGGGAATGTCACCTTTTTGCTTTGTTATTAATATTTGCATATCAGTTTATCACAATGAACCTTTATGCCAGGTATATCATAATTATTTCATCTACTTTGTAACATTTTGAATGTTTCATGCGCTTTTGAAACATCTGAAGATGTTTCAGAAGTTTTGCAGATGAGGACTTTTTCTACTGAATATGTACAAAAAAATAATCACCAGGCCATTTAGAAACAGATTTTGATGTGGTAAAAAAGCCCACAGTTGTATTTTTCTGTTTTCCACAGCAAAGCTCTCAACAAGATATTTGTGTACAACCACAAGCAGGGAGAGTGGAGGGAGCTGGCAGCCATGAAGACTCCCAGAGCTATGTTTGGAGCTGTCACCCATAGCGGCAAGATTGTAGTAGCTGGTGGGGTCAACGAGGAAGGGCTCACTGCTGCATGTGAAGCCTACGACTTTGCAACAAACAAGTATGATTCTGTTTGGACTCGTTTTAGTTGAGGACATAAGAAACTCAAAAACATTTTCCACAACAATCAGCTTTTTTGACTTTTAGATATTATTAATCTCAGAACTATTGCATAGTATGGAGCCTCAGAGTGTTTAGTACACAGGGTGAACCCCAGTTCCTTTACTTGAATCCACATTTTTCTCACTTGCATTTTTCCTTATGTATCAGCACTGGCTCTTCAGCTTGACTAGAGAATTACTTTAGCATATGCCAGATCTCAGACAATTCAGCTGCTAAGAAAAGTTAAAACTGGTCAGATGTTCCAAGGTACAAAAGATACAGGTACAGAGAAAGAGAGCTCAATCATACACTTGACCTTCTGCTAATGTTGTGTCTCTTCAGGTGGGAGCCCTTTGCAGAGTTTCCCCAGGAGAGGAGCTCTATCAACCTTGTGACCAGCGGTGGCTCCCTGTATGCTGTGGGTGGCTTCGCTATGGTTCAGATGGAGAACAAAGAGGTGGCTCCCACAGAGGTCACTGACGTCTGGCAGTAAGTCTTCTCAAGTTATAGGACCAATATTTATATGTGTTCCTTGGCTACCATTGGTATTGTTCTGAGAGCTGAGTCACCTCTGTCTCTTGTTAGGTATGAGGATGATAAGAAGCAGTGGAGCGGCATACTGAGGGAGATGCGTTACGCTGCTGGCTCCTCCTGTGTGTCCATGCGCCTCAATGCTGCCAGGATGCCCAAACTGTAAACAGAATCACTATCTTTTTCTCTTTTTTTCTTTCTTTAACCCTCATCACCACCCTTATCACCTTAGGATTTCTTTGACATTCATTTTTCTCTGAACTCAGATGATTTTTATCTGTATCTCTGCTCTGCTGCTGCTGCTTCAGATGCTGTGGCATCTCCAAAGTATTTCAAAACAGAAGCCATAATTTAGATTGATCTATAAAATTCTGTTTGCATAATTTCTAGCTCTTCTTTTGTAAAATAAACATTTGTAAACTTCTGTTACTGTTTTGATTTTGTCTGATCTTCAGAAAAGTGGCATTACAGTGACTGTATCAACACGGACAGCTTAGGGAGACAAGACTGTATTTGTATTTCTAGCTTTTTTGTGGTTTCAGTCCCAGGAAATGGAAGATGCTTCACAGAAGGTACTGGGATTTAAAGGTACATTAACAGCTCAAGTCTGGGTGTCTCCATTTTGGTAGCGCTTCACTCCACCTGCTATGGCCAATCCAAAAAAAGGGCAAAGAGGTAGAGTTTAAGCAGAGCTGGCTAGACACCTAGCAGCTAGCCATCTATGGCAGGACCCTCCCACCTGTCACCCAAAGCTGCCATGCCCTTAATTATGTTTAAATTTGTGTCTCAATATAAGTATAACGGGTGAGTTATAAAAAGAAAAACATCCCCACCATACATTTGTCATGGAAGGGGAAATTAGCTAGAGACCAAAACCTTTAGAAATATATTTTTTTCTTGAGCTAGCCTCAAGTGGCCATTTGAGGAACTGCAGATTTTAACATCTCCATTGGTTTCATTTCTCAGCCTTGGAGGCTGTTGCTTGGCCCTGCCTGCAAAGGTCATAAGAAGCGTTTTTCAAACCACAAGTGGTCATTTCAAACAGCCAGCCATGGAGGAGCTCTCGGCAGCTAAAAGTCTGCCAAATCGCAGCGCTCTCATTCTTTTGCACAGTAAGTGTGATAAGAAAGAGCAAAAGCCAGCATTAACTTAAGTTTGGCTTTTTGACACAGAGAGTGTTAAAAGCAGTGAAAGTACTCAAATTCGATTCAAATGTGGTGTTCTTCCTTCTGGTCCCATTAGCATCTAAAGCTAATGTGTTTGTTTTGTTAAAATTAGCAACCTAGCATGGTCATGAATTTATATCTGTGTTGAATTAATGTGATTTTAATTTGAAAGCAATTCTAGCTTTTTGTGTAATATTAGTACTTTGTTAGCCCCTATTCAGACTGTCTTGTCAACCTTGTCACCTGACATTGTTTCGCTGCAATGCTGCCGTAGAGCCAGGACTTGTTAGTCAGCTAATGGTATGGTCACTGTGTTTTGTATAGTTTGTCCCAACCAGGCATCCGAAATTTACGTCGTTATCAGAAAAAACTTTGAGGCTCGCTAGACCCTCTATCAGCTAAAAAGAAATTGGTTTCTGCACCTTTAAATGCTTGTCATGTCTCAGCATGACAATGAGCCATAGTGCATTTCATTTATCACAGAAGTCGGAAGTTGGAGTTGTGAATAACATCACACCCTGAGCTGATCACATTCCAGTTCCAGGTTAGCCAAAGTACCATTTGTACCCAGGTTAGCCATTGTTATCATTGGCCATTTACTGTACAAGCATTGTGCAGGATTTTGTGCATACCAACACAGTCGCAATATGTACATAGTACATGTTGAACAGTGCTATGTCCTTGTTTTAATGAGACATAAATAAGACTACAGCTTCACTGTTAATGCTCTGAACAGCCAACTTGAATTTTGAAGTTGGGATTTGTTAGGTTCTTCCGGCTTTCCAAGTTGAAAGTCGGACTTCAGGGGCAATCCAATTGAAATTTCTGACTCGGATCTCAAAAATTCTGACTTCCCAGTTGAAATGGAACACAACAATGCTAGTTCAAGAAATGACACCTGTCAGACATGAGTGGAAAAGTTGGGATATGTACTTCACACTGAATAACAGCAAGGTTTAAACATGTTTTACACTTATTTCAACAGAGGAAATTATACCAAACTGAAAATAATTTTTTCAGTGTGATTTGCACCTGTATAAAGGTCATGGGAGGATGTGTAAAAGATTGCAGTTACACTCATTAACACTTAAATTGAATAATTACAGTTAGTTAAAATTTCTGCTGTCTTGTGTGACTGTAGCTAGTGAATGTATTTCAGATATTTCATGGAAACAGCATTTTGGCAGCTGACAGTGTGTTCAGACAGCTTATATAAATTTGTGTCAGCAAATTCAACACAGTGTTTAACAATGTAAAATCACACCATAGGTAAGTGATCTGTGGCCAAGTAAACTGACTTGTTTTAATCGGAAACCGAGTTCGGTGCCTGTGTTAAGTGTAGCCTCACTGTAGACACCTGAATTGATTTCTCTGAACCAAAGGTTTTTTGGAGCATAATCTTGCTCTCTCCTTTTCTTTACAAATTCACGTGAAACCTGACCCATGTAGATAACGTAACCCTTGAGCTTTATAACTCAAGCATGACACCAGGAAGTTAGTGCACAAAACAAATGTATGCTAGGGTTTTCCCATGGGTGTGGGGGACTGGAAGGAAAGAGAGAGGAGGAGGAGGAGGAGGAGTGGCACATGAATGGATATTGATACAGAGGTAAGATATTGAATGCTTGGACTGAGCACTTATGAGGACAAGTGAGTAGAAACATCTTTTTATTTATTTATTTATCAGTCAACTTCTCTGAATGAATTTCAACACAGCTAGATGAAATTAGCTTCTGGATAAAATTTGTATTTTTCCACAAGTATCTTTTTAATGAGTACAACTTCCTGCCATATGAGTGTGCATGTGATGGGTAAATGACACCTTGTGCATCTCCTCATATCCATAATGAGAGCAGATTGTTCTGACAGTATTTCAGAAAGCTGCCATCAAGCCAGGATGTCATATCCTGAGAGGCTTTCAAAACCAGATGAGGAAAGATTTTATTTGCTTCTTTCCCACTGAGTTTGCTTGATTGTTTTTCATTCCTAGTCTACTTGACTCTGGGCTTCTTTCCCTGCTGATTCCTTCTTTGCTCAAGCAGTAATTACAACTGACAATAATATGACAGCTGAAGGAAAATAGAAGAATGATTTATTTATAGTGTATATTTTCCACACCCTGCAACATACTGTATAATGTAATATTCAGTGGTAGTATTCACAGAAATCAGTTTAACAGAAATTAAAGCACAAATTCATCACTTGTTCAGCATGTTTGAAAATATTAAAGCTGCACTAATCCATACTTTTATATCAACAGTGAACCAAATAACTACAGTACATGTACTGTGAGAGGTGTCACCCATAATGAGATGCACATCATTATCACCCAGCTGCAGTTCACTTCAGCTCATTGTTATAGCATCTTTTAGCTCACTGTTTTGCTTTTAGAACGTGCAGCTTTAATGTTTTGGTTCAGTCTTACCACTTGTTTACAGTAACAGCAAGCAGAAAAACCACTCTGAGTCCACTGTACACTGCCTGCTCAGCACCAAGCAACAGATGCACAATATTAGCAGTGAGCTGGTGGAAATAGTGTAGAATTTAACAAATCAGATGTATTCAGTAATTGGTGGGGCCCAAAATAGTCTAAAAGAGTGAATATTGGATCTACAATTGAATGTTAATGCTCTGTTTGCTGAATGTGTAAACAGGTCATTAGCCATATCAACTGTATTAGTGATGTTACAGTAGTGTTGAGCTTCTGCCAAATCACCAAAACCATTGTTTATTACTGGTTTTAAGTTTCAAATATTGCCAAAATAGTTTGACAGAAAACAAATAATTTCTGTAATCAGTCTGGTTTTATTTAGAAAGCAACTTTTTCTATCTTCAAAAAAACATAGTTGATGAATATCAGTGTAATTTGTGTGTTATTGTAGAATGTACAGTTACAGGTAGCCCTGGATCCTTCCCTTCACAATTTGCCTTCCCTTCTCTGGTTTTTATTTTACTCAACAGGGCTCAGCCAATGGCTAGCAACTCCTCTGACAGAGAAGATGACAACTGCACAGATGTTGACATACTGATGAAACGTTATTATCTCCCAGTTGCCTATGCCATGATCTTCACCGTAGGGCTGGTGGGAAATTTAACCTGCATTACTGTGTACCTGACAAAGCTGCATCCGTGGAAGAGCAGCAGCATCATCATGGTCAATCTGGCCCTGGCTGATCTCCTCTACATCCTCACCCTGCCCTTCCTGGTTTATACCTATAGCAACCAGGATTCATGAATGCTTGGTGATTTCATGTGCCGCTTTGTGCGCTTCAGGTTTCATTTTCAACTGTATGGGAGCATCCTCTTCCTGACATGTCTTGCAGTTTTCCGCTACGTGGTGGTGATGCACCCGTTGAGGGCAGCACAGGTGCAGCAGAAGATGTGGGGTATTGTCGCATGCTCGGCTGTCTGGATTATAGCCGCTGCCAAAATTACACCCATGTTGACCATGCTATCCTTGGAGAAGAGGAGCAATGTGACCTACTGCCTGGACTTTGCTAGCATCCCATGTGTCGATGATATACGGTGGTATTGCTGGCTGCTCACTGCACTTGGATTCCTACTCCCTTTGATGGTGGTATTCATGTGTTACATTGGTATAATTAAACATTTAGTAAAAAGGCCCCGCTCAACTGGCCCTTGTCGGGTGCGTGCACGGCGCATGACTGTGGTGATACTAGTGGTGTTTGTCATTTGTTTCCTGCCATATAACATCTTACGTGTACTGCGAATAGAAACTCGAAAATTTCAAGAGATGTCATGCATGATTTACCACATTGTTCATGCAGCATATATTATCTCCAGGCCTCTGGCTGGTATCAACACATTTTTTAACCTGGCTCTGTACACTCTT